ATCTCTCAGTAAAATAAACACATTGAGCTATTTGTATTGACTAAATGTTTATCTAAATGTAGCATTGCCACGTTTTTAGCTAGAAACATGTTTCAGCAGTTCCTCATAATGAAAGCATTTTATTTATCTGTATGAAAGAGAAATGGTTTTAAATGAACACTTTCAAACATTAACATAGTCATTTACCAAAGTATTTTTAATGTATGATTATAAAAAATGCAAAAATCTAGTATTAGCATCCCATAATTTTTGCGAAAAATAAATCTTCAATTTTATAAAGGAAATAGACAATGTAATAGACCGTGGGGTGGTGGGGTAGAATACAGGACCTACAGTTTCGAAGCATTATACAAAGCAGTTTATATATCTTATCTTATTTATTCCTCCTAATCCATGGAGTAGTTATTTTTGCCCTCATTTAGGCTTTGGATGTTCTAGCCATTTTGTGGCACAGATCATATTTGAACCCAGACCCACCTGACTCCATCCTCTACTTATACTTTTGCTCCCTGAGGAGTGCATTTCCTTCTGTAAAAGGCACGGGAAACCCTGCTTTGTTAGTTGAGCTACTTGGTTATTCAGTATAAAGCAGTGAGGATTCATTCATTTCTTCAGTACAGTATTTCAGTAGATTTTTGTGTAATAGCAGATGGCAATACTTGGAGAAAGAACAAAGATTAAACCTAAGGAGAAAAAAAAAAATCACTGTTTTCTCATAATGAGAAAATATCGATGCATGCTGAGAATGGTGCTTCTCAGAAAAAGGGCCAGTGAAAACTAAATTGGAAAGTAAATTTTCGACCTTCCAAAACTGAACTCACTTTTTTTTTTTCACCATGAGAAATTATTCCACACTTTTAGCTTCTTAAAATGCTTTGGAAATAAAATCCAATCTAGCCTTTCTTTTAACATTTTAATGACTTTATTTGTGGTTGATGTCCCTATTGATCTGAAAGAACTTCGTAAGCAAATTCTACATAAGTACTGAAGAAGATGAGTAAAATTACAATACCTGTCAGGATCCCAAACATTTCCATTTCAATTTTGCATTGAATTTCCCTTTTTGTTTATGTGCATCTAATCTTGAGTTAGAAAAGACCTTTCTAAGGATACGTGCAAAGGCAAACTCTCTGAAGGAAGAAAAAAAGATAATTGTGACAAATAAATATTATAAACTTCTTTACATAAAAATATAAAAACACCACCATAAGCAACATTAAATGTCAAATATCAAACTGGGGAAAGTATTTACAATATATCACAAATAGCTAATAAGTTCATTATATAAAGAGGTCTTCCAAATAAATATTTTTTAAAAAGTAGATAGAGGGGGAATAAAAAGTACATAATAAGCAACTGAAAAGGAAAAATTGCAAATGACCAATAAATTTATTAAAACATTTTGAACTCCAGTTAAAAACAGCAAAAGAGTATTTTATCAGTTATCTCAGGTAAAAATGAAATGGAATGATAATCCCCCGCACGGTGGTGCCTGGGAAGAAGTGAGTATCTCAGTCTGCTGGGTCCAGTTGTACGAAGTATCTATGGGGTATACTTGGGCACACTTCCAAGCATCCATATCCTTTGTCCTAGTAATTCTACTCCTAGAAATGTGTACTAAGAAAATAATTAGAAAATGCAGAAAGATATACATACAAGATCATTATTATGGCCTTATTTCTAATAGCAAAAAAATACAAATGAGTCAATTGTCCAATTATTGAAGGTTGATTAACTTTATATTAGAAAATATTTTGCCATCATTTAAAAATAGTTAATGCTACAAGACAATAGTTAGTGATGTTTATGATATATTCAATTTTTTGGTACAATATTACATATTATATAGTTTAACGTAATACTCCATTTTTGTCGAAGAGAAAATACAACTAAGCATAGAAAAAAATACTATATGTTTATATACACACACGCACACACACACCCTCAGAGCAAAATGTTAATAGTTGTCTTCTCTGAAGTGATGATGTTATGGATGATTTTTTTTATTTTTCTGTGTTTTCTTAAAATTTACATGCATTTATTTTCAAAAATTGTTACTTTAAAAATGAAAAATAATTGTCTCCTTGCTTTATCTGCTTCTTCTATTTGTTAATATAAAGTCGTTTTGCCTTTCTTCAAGGTTGTATTTTCACTATTCAAGTTCGTACTGAGAAGGATGGTCGTTTCAGACACCTGGGAAATCCTGAGGGCCATCCGAATGCTGGGCGCAGCACTGGCCAATGTGATGCTTCTCCTTGTAGTTTAATGAAATGTGGCAATGGTGGGACATGCATAGAGAGTGGATCTACTGTTTAGTAAGTATGACATTATTAAGATAGAAAGTAGCAGGCTAGTTGCCTTCTAACTGGTACTTTGGTACTCCACTTGCATAAACTAGGAACAAACTGACACTCATATTTTAGATTTTTTTATGTAGACTTGCTAGATTGTGGGAGGACAGATGAAGGCAACTAGCACAGCATCTGTACTATCTTCTCAGTTCTATTAAATAATGAAAATGAATCACTACATCTCATTGCAAGCACCATAGAAAATATAGATTAAATTTATAGTATTGAGAAAGTAGACAGAAATGCTAATCCTATGAAGACTTACAAATTGGGATTTGCTTTCATATTTATTTAGATTTGAGCTACTTTAGAAAGGGCCTTCTCTAGGTGGGCAACAGTAAAGCTACACTATTTGCCTTCTGAACTACTTTAGTATGAAACCAAATGTGGACCCATTGAGCGAGAAGGAAAGAAGAAAAAAGAATGTCATTGTATTTATAACTTCTTTTGTTGAGCATCTGCTCTGTGCAAAAGTGTCGTAGTGGATGAGGGCTCTGGGAATATCCCAGAGAAAGAGGAAGTAAGCACTCTGTCCTTCAATTTCTTACATTCTAGCTATTCATAAATTTCTTGTGTCTCATACATATAAAAGACAGCTAAAAAAGTGATTTGTCAAAATGTTTCCCACAGGACACATCAGAAAGTATCATGCAGTTCACCAGGAACACTGGTTCACTGCAAAGCAGCCAGGAAGTGAGGCATCAGAAGTTTCCTGGAGGACAGAATCTCCCTCTGAAGAGGGCATCGTTTTAAAAGCCATGAGTGAATCTCTTACACTCCCAGAACAATTCCCCTTCACCTCCTCACTAGAAAATGATCAAAAACAAAGATCAAACAACTGCTAATCACAGTAAAATTTTGGGAGAAAAAAAATGGTTAGTTTAATCAAGCCCATAGAAGTACTCAGGGCAAAACCTGAGACTTGAGATGCCATCGTCATACAGTACTATTTTTTGACATTAGCTTTACCGTTACGATTTTGTAATTACTTCTCCACAATTTTAATGAAACCTTTAATTTGTTTTACAACTTATGCACTCTAATTTGCTCTACAACTAAGCTTAGTACTTTCTAAAGAAATGAGTT